AAAAGCAAGTATTCGTTAAGTAATTTTCACTGCATGTGTTAAGTAAATATCCCGACCTGTTTAGTGAAAATTACTATTCGTGCATTAGTATACGTAACTAAACAACAGCTTCATAAACGTGACTAAGCACTTAGTTTTCCCAAAATATACTAAACCGTACAGTTCAATCTGCTATGTTATTATCAGTATGAACTAAACATTTCCCTCCGTGTTATTTTTTCAGGGCAATTTTATTCTATACTTCTACTTAAAAAAACCAATGATTAAATTCCTCGAAAACAAAATACTACAAGAAGCCTCTCTTCAGCATTTCACTAGCGCCAGATGGCGCGCCTAGCGCCGCATGGTTCCGTGAGGGTGGTCCACAACAATCCACGTTCAAAGATGCTGCACTGACTGTCACCTGTCTCAAAGTTGGGTGTAGAACTTAACATCGGCGTTGCCGTCTATTGTGGTTTATGATCACATTTGAAGACGCTTAAAGTGACGAAATTTCCTTAGTTTTAAAACATACTCAAATTTTACATATTGCATTGAATATTGTGACCGATGTATCCTAAAACGCGACCGACTGACTTTGCATGCTGCATTTTTGACAAGTTATAATACATTTTAATGTGAGTCCACTTTTTCTAAACCCTAATTTCATAAAAACATTTGACAGCAATCCAAGTGCATAATTTCACATTATTCATTAATATCGTTTTTCATGAAAAGAAGTTTCGGGAATTACTTGTTCCCATCTTTAAGGTTATACATATTTTATTAACATGTTACATTAAGATTTCAACACATGTTATCGAGAACATAAGCTGGGACATGCCGAGTTTCAAGACAAAAATCTACAGTTGACATCACTCAGCGAAAAGCTAGGTTTCAGAAATACATATGCAATTACCCTGCAAAAATCTTTTCTAAAATTGGCCTGGACCCGTTGCTTCCGCTCTGTTATTCTACCGTGAGCCACGTCTCGAAGGCGCTACAGCGCTCAATACAACAAAACTTCTTGGAAAATTAGCGCCAACAACATTGAAGTGGGCGCCGCCATTTCCGAGCCCCCACGCGGTACATTGAAGCAAGCCCTCAACACATTGAAGGAGTCTGAGGACGCAGACACGATGCATTGTCTCCACGCGCGCAACCCGTGCACGCATAGAACGTTATGCGCTCCATAGAACGTTATGCGCTCCAACTATCGGCACGAGCTTTCGAATTATTTTTTCTGACTTTTCCTAAAAAAATTGTGAAGAAAAAATAGTACACCCTCCTCACCTGTAAAGAATACCCCTCTACAGATGAAAATAAGACTATGAAAATTACGAAAATAATTCAAACTATCAGAAAAACATTTTTTGATATTTTCTGAGCGCCAAACGCAAAAAAAAATAATTTTTTTTTGAAAAAAATAACAAAAAATATATGTATATCTTAAAACCCTGGAACAAAAGACTCGACAAGAAACTCAAAAGTTCCTCTGAAAACACAAAATGTTGTGGATTTATTTAAGATTTTTTCAACAGCTGGGCTGCACATAAAAAAATAAAAACATTTTTGCCATTTTCCCGTCTTTAAAATCACATTGATTTAAAATATACTTTGAAAATGTCTGCAACAGTTATCTGCATTTATTTTAGAGTTTATTATTATGTATACATTGTTCTAGCACCCAGTAACGGTATAACTTTGTTATAAATAACAAATGTTTATGTTTTTAAAACTTTCTAATCCTTTTTACATCATACGCTAAGGAAAGACAACACTTGATTTTAATCTTTAGGGTCATTTAAGGAGTCTACTATAAACACAAAATTTTGACAACACAGCTGCTCTTGTAACGAGAATTTGTGCAAGTCTGTTACTTTCACGTATACGTAAGTATATAAGGAGTAATATACGTAGTATAGGAAAAGTTATGTAATGCTGCAGAAAATGGATTTCGTAATTTCAACGGATATACATGTTTTGGGGTCCCCAGATACCGAAAAAATGTGTTGTTTCTTTTTGAAACGTCCATCTGGTGTCTGTAAACACTACTAGCGCTTAAACCATGCGTAGGATTTTTTCAAATTGAAGAAACCCCTGTCCAAAGCTATGAGATTTTGGACAACATGCTTTAAACTTTGGGGGTACTTTACATGACGCCTCCCGGACATTTGCAAAATTTTCTCAAAAACGGCTCCAACGGCAGGAAAGAACTTATCGTAAAGTTCTAACTAGAATGAAAGAACATGAAAAACATTACGGAGATTCCTCAAACACAAAACTCTGTATACAATCTTCGCATGAAATTGGACCATTCTTTCAATTTTCAAATCCGATAATTTTTTATATAGGACCCGGATATATCCACGATTAGTTTCTGAAACTTTACATATTAAAATGAATAATTCTATTAATACTGCTGTTGAGAATCATCATTTTACAAAAATTTACGATGCTATGCTTGATATATGTCAAACATTGAAAAAATGGTTCTCCCTTCTTACTTGTGCTTCCGAAACCACCACCCCCTCCCCGTTTTCTTGTCTTATCTTCCCCTGAGTCTCAGAACTCATTATTTCAACGTATGAAATTGATTTTGTGTGTCTAGTGGCTGTTAGCTGTAGAATGTCAATGTAAAAACCATCTGTTTTGTGAGCGCTCATGTGTGTGGAAAGTTCTTTCCTGTCTTAATTTCTCAATTTTAATATTGTATTGTAAATACAATATTGCCGATACCTTTCAATTTTTCTCGTGCTTTGAGCAGACTTCTTAATCAAATATTAGGCAGGCGACTAACGTACCGCCACTGCGAGTCTCAAAGAAAGCACGAGGAATGGATGGAAGGTAGATGGCGGTTTGCCCTATTCCACAAACAAAAAGCGATCGCGAAAATGCTCTTGTGGCTCAGTGGCCAAGTCGCTTGCCTTTCACCACCTCCGGGTTCGATTCCCGTAGAATCCCCGTACAACCTCAAGTGAAATCTGTTACGACAAAACGGGTCTGCACAGGGGCTAGTCCAGCCAATGTCTCCTTTAGTGCCCTAAACCCTACCCCAATCCTATTTCCGTCCCGACTCTGGCCACTGTGTAGTGACGCCGGGGCGCGTAGAAGAAGGCGCAAACGCGGAGATGCTACTTGGAGGTCCTCTTGACAACTGACTGGGACAAGTGACATGAAATGAATTAATGGAGGATTACTCCAAAAGCGCTCAACGCCCTTAAAAACCCTCCTAATCCCAGTTCCCAGCTTCAACTTCAAAAATTCTCTCTATGCAATGTCGGGCTGTTCCGCGAGTGGGATTTCTGACGATGAAGACCCTTTCTTTTCTGTCGCATTTCACTTTTCTGTGTGTTTTTAAACAATTTCTATATTTGACACAGCTCGCTTTTTTTGACAACTTTTTCAAATCGATAGGAGAGTTCGTTCATCTCTGCCGTTCAGTCTGGTGGTGACCTGGCAACGGAAGTTCTTAGCAGTAATACGCATCAAAAATACGATGTGATAACACAGCATATTGGTGGTGTTTATTACAACAGTTCAATTTTCGTTTTGAAATCAGTTCCATATCAGAATCGATATTGTGATAAGTTTACTATGTGCATGTTTGCAGCTTCTCATATGTGCAAAAAAATTATATTCAAATGCGGAAAACAGCGAAAGCATAAACTGACGAATCCCAGACGGCCCTACAGAGAAACGTGCTCACCAACTGCCACCACGCAGAGCGCAGCGCAGAGAGAATTCTGCCCATTGAGAGATAGAAAAAGAGAGAGAGAGATAGAAAAAGAGAGAGAGAGAGAGAGAAAAAGAGAGAGAGAGAGAGAGAGAAAAGAGAGAGAGAAAAAGAGAGAGAGAGAGAAAGAGAGAGAAAAAGAGAGAAAGAGAGAGAAAAAGAGAGAGAGAGAGAAAGAGAGAGAAAAAGAGAGAAAGAGAGAGAAAAAGAGAGAAAAAAAGAGAGAGAGAAAAGAGAGTGAAAGAAAGAGAAAAAGAGAGAGAGAAAAGAGAGTGAAAGAAAGAGAAAAAGAGAACCAGAGAGAAAAACAGAAAGAGAGAGAGAGAACCAGAGAGAAAAACAGAAAGAGAGAGAGAGAACCAGAGAGAAAAACAGAGAGAAAGAGAGAGAGAACCAGAGAGAAAAACAAAGAGAAAGAGAACCAGAGACAAAGAGAGAGAGAACCAGAGACAAAGAGAGAGAAAAACAGAGAGAAAGAGAGAGAATCAGAGAGAAACAGAGACAAAGAGAGAGAGAAACAGAGAGAAAGAGAGCGAGAGAAACAGAGAGAAAGAGAGCGAGAGAAACAGAGAGAAAGAGAGAGAATCAGAGAAAAAGAGAGCGAGAGAAACAGAGAAAAAGAGAGCGAGAGGAACAGAAAGAGAGAGCGAGCGAGAGAAATAAAGAAAGAGGGAGAGAGAAACAGAAGGAGAGAGAAACTGAAAGAGAAACAGAAGGAGAGAGAAACTGAAAGAGAAACAGAAGGAGAGAGAAACAGGAGAGAGAAACAGAAAGAGAGAGAAACAGAAAGAGAGAGAGAAAGAAAGAGAATGTAAGTGAGCAAGAGAGGAGGAGAGGAGAGAGAATGCATGTAAGTGAGCAAGAGAGAGAGCAAGTGAGAGTGAGTGAGAGTGAGAGAGAGAGAAAGAATGAGTCAGAGAGAGAGAGAGTGTGTGTGTGTAATCATTATTTTGGATCACTTCACATGGTCAATCATAAATAAAAACAACTGAAGCTCAAAAAATTGTCTTGCCAGTTTATTTACATTTAGAATAGTTAAAAGAACCAGAATCTGTAATCCATTTACTGAAACGAAGTTCTCAATGGAAAATTATTACTTGACGTAGGCTGATACAGAATATCTAGGAACAAATTCATTCAAATGTGCAGTTGTAAAATGAATGTTGAATACACCACCAAGAATCTGTTATCTCGAGAAGAAAACAGTGAAAGTTTTTTCCATTTGGGAAAAAATCAGAAACTTGACATTAAAAAACTTGACATCCACTACTTTTCTTACCATTACCAGTCCTGGATTTCTGCTGTTTATAACAACAATTACACAAAGTCCATTTTACTATAAACATGCAAAGTACTAGTACATAAAGTCATACAAATACATGTCCTTTGAATACATCAATGTCCATAAACAAGCCAAATACAAAAAAATATTACAATCTGTACAAAACTTGCCAAAACAATGGGAGGGGCAGGGGAAGCAGCAGGAGCAGCCACAACATTTCAACATTTCAACATTTCAGCACTAATCACAAGAAGAACAGGGGCGGGAGGTGGCAGGCAGAAAAGAATCCAGGGTGGATGGCCTCCTCGAGCAATTGGCTTTGGCCCTGGCTGCAAGCCTTGCACTTTCACTCAACCATGGCCCATGGAAACAACTCAACTTGCTCAACAAAAGGAGAGCTGGAGAGTTGTTCAAGTTTTTGACACATCACAAATTGACATGGAAATGATTGTCATTACTACATTTCTGAAAAGGCAAGTAAAGGCATTTTATTCACTTGTTATCTCTTTTGTCCTCCCAATGGATATTACCCACAATCTTTCTTGCATGAAGCTAAAACTTCTTTTTTTCAGATCATTGAGAACAACAGACTATTCATTATAACATTCACACTATCCTAAAAACAAAATAATAGAATATCCTCATTCAACTTAAGTTAATTTACTACGGGTGAATACAATTTCGATCTTTCAATAGCATGTTTAGTCTTGTAGCAAGTATTTCAAATAGTAATTATAATACCATTTTGTAACTATTATAATAACAATGATATATATAGTAATTGGAATATTTTCTCAATAATTCACTTTGAAAACCAAGTAAAATTGTTTAACTGTCATAAAAAATCTAGTCAATCACAAAATAGTAGTAGTAATAATAATAGTAATAATAATAATAATAATAATAATAATAATAATAAGTTAACATGTAAACATTTAATGGCAATTTTATCAGAGAGGCGATTTCTTAAAATGCGTCACGCTGCAACTTCTTTGATAAAGTCCAGGCTTTGCTGCATGGGAGCACGCCGAGGACAGAGGGCAAGGACACAACCGAAATGATAAGATTGATGAAATGATATGATAAAAGGAGTCAGATGTGTAAGGAACGGTGGTAACTAATTATATTGTCATTATGATATTATAATACAAAATAAGGGAAAGAAATTAAAGCATTTCCTTAAAAGTATACTAATGTCAATTTTTAACTCAGTCATCCTGGAGTAATTTAGCACTTTTTAACTAAACATTCAATTAAATATGTTTAAAGTACTCACAAGGTTGTCCTTTCTCCCTTCTTTGTCTGAGCTTCAGTTTGTTGCTACCAACAGCATCTTGAACCAAAGTATAAGTATATTCACCATCGTAGGAAGTGTACAGACCAGGTACAGCATCTTTCACCTAGAACAGGCATGGAAAATTCACAATAATTCATTCCATCATCCTTGCATTTCAAAAACATCACATTAAGATTGTTAGCATTACCTGAGCATACTCAGACCCTAGATCCACATTCTCAGGAGTAGCAAGAGGAGCGTGACCGAACGAAGGTTTGCTCAGTTTTGCTTTTGAATTCTCTCTTCCTCCAACATTCATTCGAGCAATTGCATCCGTTACAATTGAGAAATCTTTTAAATTCAATTTACCGGGTTGCTAAAAAAAAGGTTCCTTTATTATGTTGCCAGTAATCAGCAGACAAGCAAATAATAATTAAATACTATCATTTTTTTTCATGAGCTGATTTCAAGGGCTCCTTAAGAGGGTACATTCAAGCAGAGGTGGTGAAGTGGGAGGAAAAGACAGATTGGGCATCAGTGATTGACATCTCTCTATCAAAAAAATTAACAACTTATAACTACAATGTGGGTCATTCCATTTTGTTTATCTTCATTCTTCATGCCAATTCTTTCTTATATAAAAATGCTGATCACTATAAGGCTGTTACATTGCCAAAATTGTAATGTTTGATTCCATAGTTCAAGTTGGCATACCATCTCTGGGAAACAGAAGGTCCTGGCCTTGGATTCAGGTGGAATAAAATATTTGTACTTCATAAGAATCCATTTTCATTATTATACAAAATAAACAGGTAATTTTTATAATTTGAAATGAGTCTTAGTGGGCATAAAAAACGTTAATCTCATCTCAGTACCATTTAGGTAACAAGCACATAAATTAAGTGCATTTGGGAATGAGCAAAAGAAGAGGATGTACTTAACAGAAATAAATAACCGTCAGGCTTTCTAAATCTAAATCTAAATTGAAAATTCAATAGAATGTGGTCCAGAAAATATCAGAGGCAGGGCCACCGGAGCCAGTCTAACTGCAAACAGAACCTTTGCTTTTGGAACACAAGGTCACGTTCTGTCCATTTACACAAAAAGATCAGAGACGGTTTTATCATTTCTTTTAGCTGTCCTTCTTAAATTTGTTTTATTAGTTCAAATTTTTGAAATAAGAATTACTCTATATTATTGGTCGTAAATAGAGATATGGGTTACCGGGAGTCATTGCGCTGACTACGCATCATCCATGCAAGCCGCTCTGGTAAACAGAAGGGGCAGCCCAATCGATCAGTCTTAACTCTTCATGAGCTGCAGCGCCAAAGATGATTGTTATGTATTATTTAATTTAACATATTTTTTACGGGTTAAGAAGAAAATTCACAATGTCAGAACAGATAATTGCCATCTTAACTGCCAGGTTTAATTAAACATTGCTTTGTTTCCTGATTAATTTTCTTCCTTGTGCATAATAACAATTATAATAATTTAAGATATAATTTGTACATTAGATCTCAATGGCAATATTACTTTGCTTAAATGTTTTCAAAATGTTTAAGTTATTAGATCAAAACCAGAGGTCATTAATGCATGTTGTAATAAATATTGCATGAAAAACAATTTTTCTCTGCGAAACCAATATGACTAATTATATCCCTAGCTCAAAATCTAATTTTTGCAATATTATTGTTAAAGACAAGGCAGAACTGCAAAACCTAGCACAAAAAATTTGGGTGGTGTTCTGAAAGCCATTACAAAAGAATTCATTTTTGGCAGCAAAACAACTCAATTAAAAATGTTTAATGTTTTAGAAAATGTGAAGATATTAATTCTCTTAACATGAACTGCATATATACCTATTTACCCTTCAAATTAAAATGATTTTTCTATTGTGGTCGAATGCTTGTGAGTTTGATCTGAAGTAAATTAACACTCTGAAACAAACAGGACATCAGTCCTGATCTAATATTCTCCTCAGACCCTGATAATAGAGTGTAACCTGCAGTGGATAAGTTGACCTTAATAAATTATTTCCTCTACCTAATTATACCAAGCAGAGAAGCTTTTAATATTCTCTGAAATTATATAACTTAAACAGTATGTAACAATTACCATGGAAAAAACGGTTGGCAATTCCTTACTTCCCTTCATATTTAAGAAAAATAACAATATAAATTAAAGGGGGGAAAAAAAAAAGAAAAAGAAAAAGAAAGAAAAAAGAAGAAAAAAACCCTAACCAATAGAAAGAAACATTTGATAACAAAAATTTCATTCCCTCAAACTGTTTTCCAGTCTTATCCTAAAAGTAACAGAATTGAAATTTTTCATGGTCAGTGAGGGTTTTGGAGAGTATCTATGGGTGAATGTGATGACAGGAGCTGTCAAGGTGACTAAGCTACTTGTGTCAGCTGTGGCCCTTTGTTGAGACTAGACCAAGTGAACTGCTATTTGGTCACCTAGTCATGCATCTAGCGATCATGCATGAAATGAACCGCTATTAAGTAACATCTTCACGAATTAAGTAAACCACCATTAACAAGGTTGTCTTATGCCCAAGGTGGGGGTGAATCTGATCACATATTTATTTGTGCTTTTAAATCGAAATTAGCCTTCTGATGTTTGAATACGATCATTATTTGGGTTTTAAAAAAATGTATTGTGTGATCACTGCAAGAAGAAAAGGTTCTTCACATTTATTCACACTGTAAAATCAACATATAAACTGACTTATTGTTGTCATTAAAGTTTTGGAAAAGATAAAAAAACAAAGTAATTAATATACATACATATAACATTTATTATCAATTTCAGAACTTGTAATTTCATTCACTGTAGATATAAAATTTGAATGAACCAAGATTAAACATTGCAAGATCAAGCCAGTCACTCCGGTTTCCATTGTAACCTGCACCAGTCGCTGCCTTCAGTCGAAGTATCGTAAAAATGTTTTGCCTCATACTGTTTAGTATAGGGTGGAAGCAGAGTGCAATCAGCTGCAGCTGCGATCATTACACTGATAAGGGTCTTAAAGAGTTGATTACAAACTACTCAGGATGTCTTGCTTCTCGCTCCACAATGATTTTTACTTGACCAGGGCCGTCACTTAGTGGGAGGAATTTCGTCCACGGATACTTCAAGGTTCTTAAAATAATCTCCTCATAATAGCACGGATTATTGCTGCTCTTGTTCTTTTTACGTTTTCTCCCATGCTGATAGTGTGTTCTTTATTTATGAACAGAAATCCTCTCGCGCTTTCAGGACCTGGACAATTGTCGTTAAAATTGCTTTTCATCCTGACATTCTCTATTCAGATCACCTTGAGCACTATATTTTACATCTGAGTTCCATTTAGGAAATCTCCATTTTGCACAACAAAATTTACTTGACCAGGCTTTCCTCCTCAAAAAAGTTAAGGCTGCTTGGTTACTTATTTTATTTGTTCTTAATATTAATGACGTTCTTCAGAAGCATTTCTGATACTTCACATACCTCACTTAACTGCTTTTGCAGAATGAAAAAAGTATCGTGGATTCTAGTGGCATTTACATGTTTGTCTTACAATCTTCTTTAAAGTCCCTGGGTTCAAATTCACCCTACATAATTACTGAAATCTATATTTGTATGAAAGAGGTTTGGTTAGAAAGTAAACGTGTAAAAACTCACCGATCTGAATACAGAAAGAAGTAAATAAAATATAAGCTATATTTTATGAAAGCTGAGAAATACTGAAGCTGTTCTAACAATGGCAGTGATTATACAGCTTATTCGAACAAGGGCATTGTTGCAGGTAATTTATTCAAAAATCACAAATTACTATCGCTTTTGTTGTTATTTGCTTTTGGTGTTTGAAGTTATATGTCTAATGACTTCTGTTCTCGGTTATATGGACAAATGTTTAATGATTCTGAGATGGCTGTGAAATATCAGTGTCAAAGAACTAAACCGCAAAGCTATAATAAACAATGTGATTACTCCATATGCCACTGACATAGTTATTGAAGCTTTAAATGATATATCTTATTTTGGATGGGGGATTGTCAAGGAAACCATGAAGAAATATTTTTACATCTCTGAAAACTGAATTAGTCAACAATCATTTGATAGGTATTGGTTGTTTTGCTTATATTGTCAATAATTGTTCCCATCATGGGTGTGATTTGTTAAAATATGACCTTGAGAAAACTGTAATAAAAGAATACAAATTTTTCTCAATACACACTGTGCACACAGACAAATTCAAAGAATTTTAGAAATTTGTTGAATTTAAATACAAACAACTACTTTCACTCACCACTACAAGGTGGTTAAACCTCCTTCCACCCATGGAGAGAATATTAAATCTGTTTCCAGCCCCAGCAGATGTCTTACTTCCATTCACCACAACAGACCCCACAAATGATTCTAAACTTTCTTAATGATGAACTGGCTGAATCATACTTGTTTCTGATACTCTCCTTGATGTCAGCATTTTAGAAAAAGGTAAATCCGTACAAAATGAGGAATACTCAGTTTTAGGGAGAAAATTGGTCAAATAGGCTCAAGACATGCTAGTGACCCCAAAAGAACATTCCGTGCTGGGAACAAAAGCAGGAAAGTACGAATGTGGTTGTGGAGCATGTGAAGGAGGAAGGAGCAGGAAGAAGAGGACGAGGACGGAGGAGAGGGAGGACGGAGAGGACGGAGGAGAGGGAGGACGAGGAGGACGAGGACGGAGGAGAGGGAGGACGAGGAGGACGAGGACGAGGACGAGGAGGACGAGGAGGACGAGGACGAGGACGAGGAGGACGAGGAGGACGAGGACGAGGAGGAGGACGAGGAGGAGGAGGAGGAGGAGGAGGAGGAGGAGGAGGAGGAAGAAGAAGAAGAAGAAAGAAGAAGAAATGATTATATCCAATCTGCATTACCTACAGGAGAGAGGTGTCACCATTGATGACTTTGATTAGTATCAGGGCTTGAAAGTATTTCTTTGTGGACAAAATGAATAACTTGATCACTTAGTGCTAACACAAAGAGTGTATTTCTTTGAGAACATTCAAACCTTAGACAGTTTTACTGAAGTTTTAAAAATTTGCCAATTTTATTTTGCAATTCCTGGTTCTAATTCTGGTTTTGAGAGAGTGTTTCCTTTAATCAATTCACAATGGACTGAAGAAAGAAATAGAGTGCTTATTACATCAATAGATAGTATCATTACTGTGAATACTATCTACATCATTTGCACTGCAATTTAATAAATGTATTATTTCTAAGATGGATATGCTGAAAAAAATTTCATCAAGTGAATAGTATTATTTAGGCAGCAAAGGGAGTAAAAAGGTATTATGAGTTTATATTGTTTGTATTTATACCATTTAATTTATTTCCATTATTATTACTTTTACTATGTTTTTTTGTAAAAAAAAATTGAATGGGAAAATATTATATGTTTCTGATTATTTATTATATGCATGCAGTGTTGGGGAGTAATTGAGTATCAATAATTCACTTACTTGTAGTGATTACTTAGTCAACAAAATTTAGCATGTAATCCTTACTTTTAGCAGAAAGTATTTTTTACTCATAATTTACTTTTTGATATACAAATATTAAAAAGAGTTATTATGTAATAATCATTACATCACATGTAATCAATTTTTTTTTAATTATGACTATTTAGTTCTTTTTTTTTTTTTAAGCAAACTACCTTGTTTGTTGGGAACTAAATGAGTAAGTAAATGGGTAAGTTCATTTAGTTCACACACTAGACTGAAGGAGAGGCCCCAGTCATGGTATAGGAGAATTTTCATGGCTCCAGTGCCCCTGCTGAGAGTTGTTTTTATTTAATTTAATTTATTTATTTTCTTTACTTTCTCACCTCTCACTCTTACAAAGGTACATTGTAAAAATAGAAAGTTACATAATCATGTGGTGAAAAACAGGGAATGTTCAGCAGAAAAACTTTTAAACTGATATTTTTATTTTTGAAGGTACTTTACACAAAGCCTAAAAAACATTTTCGAAGTTTTCTAACACATTACACTAAACTTTTGTGATTAAATTTTATCCTGGGATAGTGTAAGAGATGGTTAAGAGATTGTCGAAGGTCTTAAGTTGATTGAAATCCCAGAATTTTTTAATATTGCAAAAGTGCAATTTTTTGGGGCATCTTACTATATCTATATTATTGAAGATAGAGATTCATTTCCCTTAATGAAATCTGTTCCTTAAAGTCAGATCTTTAAATACATTCATATTTAATTTTTTCGAAAATATGAATAGTTTTCGTGTAATTTGGGGTGAAATATAGGATATTTTAATTTCCCTAACATTTTTTAAACAATGTGAGTGGCCCACATTTGATGGAACATGATAGATATCATGTTCGTAAAATCTCATAGTATGTGAAATAACACTTATTAAATTAAGTCTAAAATATTAGTACCATTATGTGTATATTTCTCATAGTTTGCTTACAATTGCATCTTGAATAATGTGCAAAACTTCTCAGTTAGTGCATTGAACTGAATTTTGTTTACGATTTGTTTCAGCTTATCCCAGCACTTTGCAGCGGAATGGTCAGTCGAATGGGAACCCGTTGCAAAATATACTTGTTCAAGATGTTGCTCACAAATTATTTTTAAGTGTGTTGAGGGATAATATTGTAGCAAAGTCTCACTAGTCCACCATAAATGAATATTGTCATATTGATACTTGTGGTGAACGTCACTGCACCGACCGACCAACCGACACAGACCGACCGACCGACACAGACCGACCGACACAGACCGACCGACCGACCGACCAACAGACCCCTTTTCAATCATAGATCACAATTATAGATTTGGATAAACTCCATGGCTCTTGTCCCCCAGGGAAGGAGTAAGTAAGATCATAAGTTTATTTATCTGCGATTTTGCTTATTCTGGCAATCATAAAGTAGTGAAATTACAATTGAAATATTTTAATATGATACATGTATATTGTAAATTTCTGATAGAAGCACTTTCAGCTGTGGGAGAGATAATAGTTGAACAAAACAGATCATGGTGGTATTAGTTCTGGATAAAACCCTATGTAGGAAGCTCATGAAAAAATTGGTCTTGTCAGCAGAGGTTTTCAATGGAAAATACGGTCAGCTCCCAATAATATTTTTGGAATTAGTGAAAAAGAAAAAAAAGGTATATTTAAACTTAAATTTATTTCCAATCCACCTTTCAAAGTAAATCTTCAGACACGAAGTAACTAATTACTTCAAATCAAAAATGCAACAGACCTAAAGAAAACATAATGGAAAAGTGTACCTTAAGGGTCTGGCTGCTTCCTTTAGGTCTTGATTTAGAAGATGATATGTGCCTCCGACCTGTTGTAAATGCGTGCTGCCGGTATGATGTCATCCACAAACCATCATCTCGATCTAGAGAGAATACGATAAAATAAATTTTCTAACATTAAAAATATGCTCTTTGTGTTAGTGGAAGATGCAAAAAGATTCAAACTACTTTCTCAAATGCAAACAATATACAAGATGAAACACAATTCTCTTTATCCTAACTAAATCAAGAAAGAAAAACACTAATAACCATGGCAAACACCTACTTAATCCTTTAAACATTTAGAAAAAAAACTCCATAAAACTGAATTTCAAAGTACTCTTAGACTGAAGATATTCTAAGAATATTACCAAGTGAATAATTTATTTACTATATATTTCTTATCCATAATCAATATAGAAAACTACTTCATTTTTATTGTCACTTTTAATTAATGATACACCATTTAACTAAGCAAGTTTTAAAATGTCTCTCGAGGTATATATTTAGAAAACATAATTTAGGACATTATTGTACAGTCCCTGTTTTGACAGCATATTCCTCTACATTCTTCTAATAACATGAAACATTGCTAATTACAATTTTGACAAGTCCCTATTTTGACACTTCCCACACTCCTTTGTTACTGTATTCCCCTACATTCATCTGATAGAGTATAACAATGCTAATTATCTAATGACATCTTCCTCATAGCATTTGATTTGTAACTTCTAGTTCTTATTAACTGGCATTTATATTACTTTCTTTTCTCTCTTTTATACAATCAAGTTTGGCTACTCAATTTACAAAGGAATACAATATCAAGAAACATACAATGCATTTGTATAAATTATAGTAGTCTTCAGTATGGAAGTACTACATAGTTTACCGACAAGTTTACCTAAAATTTCTATCTATCTTATTCATTCTTTTTGTTCAGCTTTCCTTTGAAATGTGTTTGTTGTGAAAACATCACAGAGGTCTTCTATAGAAGAAAGTGACAGGATCTGAATTTTAAATACAGACACACATTCTTCTCTCATTTCCATGAACTCATTGTAATTTCTGTGAATAATATTCTTCCAAAATTTCACAGGCTTTTCGATAATTTTCTATTGCATATTGCTTCATAACGCAATCTTCAATATTGTTGACATTATTGATCATTCCCATAATTTACCATTTTTATCACTATCCACAACACTAAAATTTAAGAACTTGCTATAAAGCAAGGCTACAGAAATTCTCATTAGCAAGAACTCACTATGAATTTCACTGTAACCCAAAGAAGATTTGGAAATATGGAAGTAAAAGGAAGGAAATATGGAAATAGGGATATATATCATAATAGGAAAACAAATTTTTATAAAATGAATATTTATTATTTGGGTGCCTTAAAATTCATGTTATAGAAGATTTACTGCACTGTTAAGAAATTTGAAGATCTCCATACATTTCTTACTTTTTTTGTACTGCATTGATGTGTGTCAATAATTGCACTGGTAAACACGTCTGGCTCATGATACTTTCTTTGTGATACTGAAGTAACAAGTTACGCTGATTTTAAAAATGAAATCAAGATTCTTCCATCACCTAGAGGTTTTGTGTCATGAAAAATAAGTATTTTCTATTGCATACTTTCTAGCCAAGAACTAGACTATTTTTTAAAAGGCATTATTCAGACATAGGTTATGAAGACAATATTTCTGAATTACCAAGATAAAAGGAACAACCAGAAAATCCACACACATGGTAAAATAACAAAATTTGCCATTTGTCAAGCGATGAGTGCCTCACAGTGAAGAGCTTACTTGTACCTCAATCCCCAACAGAAAATGTAGATGAGGCAGCAACCAAACTGCTATATGAGAAGCAAGATTCTACTTTATAGCTTCCTATGAGCATTATCTGATAACTCAGGAAACGATCAGGTACAGGATTTGAAATTGTCTAAAAGCAGGTTGAGCTTTTATGCTCTAGACTGAGTAATGGAATCTCCTATTTTTGTACAACAAATACTCTTTATTCTTTTTTTGTTATGTAGTAAACTATGAATATAGTGAACTTGGATGCAGGAAACTATCAAGTGGTTCACATACATTGCTAAAAAGCCCTAGATGCTGTGATTATAAGGGATGCAGTTCAAGTTTTTTGGTTAGAGTATAAACAATTAGTTTACTGATATTTCAGAATCTTTTAATTCCATCATCAAGACTAATGTACAAAAATCAACAAGGCACGAAGAAATCAATATACTTCTTTGCACACAGAACAAGACGGAACATGAGAAAACTTCTAAGAAATTTTGAGACTTGTTGAGAAAATGTTATTTTTTATATTTTTGCATTAATTTAAAGAAGAAATTAAGTGAAACTACATTTTTTACATTAATTTTTTGTAATTTCCAAAAATACAGAGTTCGCTAAAACTGCGGCTGGCCCTACTTCTCATACCGTTCATTGATACATACAAGAAGAAAATTGAGTAAATAATTGTTTAAAATTTTGTCCATATTTCACGCAAAATCACGCGAAAACTACTTCCACTTTCGAAAAACTTTTTGTGATCTAATTTGAAGAGGTTTTTGATCAACAGATTTTATAAAGCAAAAAATCGATCTTCATTATTATAGTAGTAGGAAGACGCTGAAAAAACAGCTTGTGCAATTTTCAAAAAATCATGGATTTGAAAGAAAATTAGGTCTACGCCATTTTTAAAATCTTTTACGCTATCAAAGGACAAAGTTTAATAAAAAAATTGTCATTTAAAAAAATACTTCGAAACTGTTGAGGTTTTACGCAAAGTACCCTACAAAAATCAAAACATCTGTTTCAAATTCGTAGGGCCTAGAGTTCGGATCGATTGGGGTTATCAGTTTTGAAGTAAGCTAGCGTTGATCATTAGACGGTGTCTGTGAACGGGCAGACGTTTTGGCGTGGATCGATTTTTAAGTATCCAAGACCCACAAATTACATTGATTACACATTACACTGATTACACAATGTGACACAGGAAGTAATTTACTACATACAGGAACATTTATCCACATTTTCGTTATATTTACTGCGCCAGAGAGTAAAATCGATTGACGGCAAAACGCCTGTCAGTGTGTGTGGAGTGCGTGCACGCGTATGAGGGGCGTGCGCTCGCGCGCGTACGTGTGGAGCGTGCGTGCGACTATTTTTTAAATTAAAACATTGTTCTTGGAAAGCGTGGAGAACGCTTGAAATAATCGCAGGGCTAATTTTCGTAAAAATCTCGGACTTTTCGAAAACTGAAAAAGTTCGAATTTTTTTTGGTGCCTTCCTACAACTACAATATTGAAGATGAATTTTTTTTTCTTTAAGGAATTATGTTGCTCGAAAACCAAACTTGATATAAGGTCTTATACAATCCTTGGAAAATGTGAGTAGTTTTAGCGTAATTTTGTCAGATATTTAGGCAATATTTAAACAGTTATTTTTTCACAAACTAGTAATTTTCGCGTAATTTCTGCTTAAAGGTGGGGCAATTTACATCAAAAAATCCTCAAAAACAACTCCATTTTGTTTCTTTTATTTTTCTTCTTCTATGGACAATGTAAAGACTTGAAAAAATGTCACAAGTTTCATTATCATTGAGCACTGTATTTTTCGAAAATTGCAAGTTAGAAACAATGCGAGAAAGTATGTTGAGTTGTAATTGAGTTACAGAAACAGGTTTATTTTGTTCTCCAGAGTAATCAATAAAGTTAAGCCCAAGTTTCTTTGGTAATATATGTTAGGGCTCTCAAATAAGCTCTATTTTTATAAAGTTAAATTCATTTTATGAAATTATCTTTTTGTATTTTATTTATTCTTGTGTGATGTTTCTTTATATTCTTAATTACTGTTACTTTTCAATTAAAATGTCACAGGTTGTAGATGTTTATTCTTTATTGTAACATTAAAGTTTCACATAGAATGACTTTTCTATTTATTTTTAAAAGCTTTTTCCTTCTTGGATTTTCAAAACACATGCAATTTGAGTTGGACAACTGCTCAATGTATATTGATAATAATTGCTCAAATGTTTACAAATCTGAAATTAAAAAAATACACCCTGAAAGTTAAAATTATTCTGTACTAAAACATACAGCATTGCATATTTACTAAATACAATTAACACTCTGTAGGTCCTGGTTTGAGAAAATATGTTAAAAATAAATAAATAAATAAATAAGTAAGTAAATAAATAAAAGCAAAATTCTCAAATTAAAACAGTTACATCACAAGGAAATTAAAACATACATTATAAGGAAGCTCAATCAGATACATCACAAGAAAACGGAAAAAATATTTGAAATCAAACATCAAATTCTACAATAGAGAAGAACATTTAACTTCTGAAACAGAATAATAAAACAATTCACCTGAATCTCGTGTAGCTAAGGAATCCCTTGATCCACTTATGTCAGCTAAGCAAACAAGAAACAAGTTATATAAGTTGAGATACAGATAGAAACATTAATTCCTGGATTTAAATAAAATGAGAGCAGAAAATTCTCTTTTTCTTTCAATGATAACTGGATATCAAAATTACTTATAGAGGTATTTTCAATTTGTATTTTCTTTCACTAACAATTCATACTTAATGACCTGAGATAACCACAATTAACAGATAACACAGATAACAATAACAGATAACCACAATCACACAATTTCATTATATTCTTATAGAATTGAGTCATTGCAAATGAACCATGACAAGACATAAAAATGAAACATAAAAAACACACACCAGGTTCTTAGAAATATCAGTAATATCTGGAGAAAAGACAAGAAAAACACACACAGACACACACATACACAAGAAATTTGAAACTTTCCACTAATATCAGTTAATGAAGAATGGTTTTAAAGCTATAATCTTGTTAGTATGTTGCAATGTCTTTAACAGTACAGCCCTAATAACTTGAATGTCAAAAATCTGGAGCACCAAAAAGCATGCTGTAAGTAAGTAAGTATGCATGCATGCATGCATGCATGCATGCATGCATGTATGTATGTATGTATGTATGCATGTATGCATGCATGCTTGTAGGTAGGTATGTATACACTATATATGTAAAAGTATCCACAGAAGT